CTCTCCCCCATTTCAGGTCAGACAACGACGACTTCAACTGATGCCTCTATTCAAAGATTTTGACGAGACTCACCGTCACACAGTTAGTCAGAGTCAATTTCGCCGGGTACTTATGACTCTGGATTTGGCTGACATGCTTAACGAGAAGGAATGGTCTTGTCTCTACTGGAAATATCGTCATCCGCTCGGTGTGATCGATAATCTGAACTATCAGGCATTTATTGATGATGTGTATACAGCCGGCGGAATCGATCCACGAATTCCATAAACCAGCCGGATTCGGTCATCGTGGATCAACCAATTTGAACTAGCATTCAAATTTTCACATTCATCTGCTCTTAGCTGGTGGCTTTTGCTTTCGATTTCTGGCCGACGTCAATCGTATTCTTACACACATGTCTCAAGCCACATACACATTGCACTCATTTGAAAGGAAAATTGAATGAAAGATTAAAACAACTTGATAGCTCGATCAATATATGCTATTTGAACCTGGTTTTCTGCGCACGATTTTCAATATCCCAAAACCTGCGTTTATAAAGTGGAATAGAAAACCAGTTTAGTGTCCTGGCCTTCATCGAGTACATCGAAGCCAATTGATCAGTTGACATACTGACTACAGAGAAGAGTGGAAAATAGAGTCAAAAACAGTTAAAGTACATCTGATCCCCTGGTCACANCGAACAAAATGCTCAAGCCACAATGATCGCTTTTAACTGATCAAACCTATCCTATTCGTGAACTGGAACAGAACTCTGAAACATCTCCAGACCGGGTATCGAACCAAAGTTATTCTGTTTGTATCGAATGCATTGGTTTTATTTTTAGCTTGGTCTTGTCGATGAAACATGACAGCAAACTCAGGTTGTTACTTGCAGAAATGATTGAGCCATGCGCATAATGTGATAACCATCGACTGTGTAGCTGAAGTGTAAGGGTTTGAAGTCCCCACTCGAAGGTTGGTGGTTCGAGTCCTGACGGGGACGCACAGTTGACAAGTCCCAAACAGGATAAGAAACAGCTGTCGGTTGTCACAATCGATTCTATCGCATTTAAATGAAAGAAAACCATTATGGTTGTCACAGCTTTATTGCAAACAAATGATTTGTTCACTGTTCATCTCAGAGTACATCGTCTACTTGACAGAATAGGCCTAAATTAAATTGATCTGACAGGTCTGCAAAGATATAAAATTTAAACCATATTTTCCGGAAATAATTGTCACTGAAAATTTAAAAAATAAACAATAATTTCACGAAAATAAAAGTTGTCACATGCAATCATTCCCAAAATACGTTTCGAAAACTAAATTACAACGTGAACTGCAAAAGAACTAATTCCCACATATCATGCTAAAACTATAATAAAATATATACAGTACTTCACTTTGAATCTAGTCTCTACATTTCAATTTTCATTCTGGTCTTTTATCCAATTGGGCAACCAAAATCGAAGCATAGAAATACATGGTTAATGGTTGTGAAAACTGAATAACGTTTCAATCGATCGGTAATGTTGGCATGTGTCTTGTGTTTCGTTTGTTTGATTAGATCTAGTAATCATTTTGGTCAAAAACTTGAAATTTTATTTACCCATTCTCGTAACCTTATTCATCGCAACCTCATCGATGCGCAGCACATAATTCCTTGAATTTGCAAGAGATGTGGATGCGATGAGGGTTGCAATAAACAGGAGTATCTCTCATGAAGGCTGATCTAGGAAGATATCGCATGTTGGGATAAGAGCGTAACACTGTTTGGAGTGAAAAACACTACGAACAGCACTTTGATTGGCTGTATCGTGTTTATACATTTACAAGACAGTGTCGGAACGAGTAAGATTCATGACTCTCGAACAGCGGTAAAGGTATCATAAATTGGTGCGCATACAACAATATCTTCCCTTTGGAACAGTTCACCACAATTCTCACGAGTACATAGAATAATTAATGCGACAGTCCGACTGCGGAGTCGTACTTTCTGTAGTTACAATTGAGAACACAGTCATCCGCTCTATGAGGTTTTACTCATTTTTTACCGTTGTGAGAAATCGCCAATCACATTCTTTTGCGTAATCTCAACATATCACTCGCAAATGTGAGAAGTATCTCACAACAAAAGAAGTTGCATCCCTTAATCTTTTCTCATAAGATAGAATCAAATGGATTTAATTTTTGGAAATTTGTGGTAATCAGAATTGTATGGAATATCGGAATACGAGCATTAGTACTGTAATATTCAGAACCGGATTGGTTCCATCCCGAACGGTGGAAACTAATGAAATACACGAGGAATTGGGAGAAACAAGTGCCAATGTTTAATCATAACAATCAAGCATGTTTTATAGAAAGCAATAAGCCATATCATTTGTTAAACTAATGTCGTCCAATCGTGTAACCGTTTGTGCAGACAAATCGCATATACTAACTCTGATGTAGTGTTCGTCCGGTGTACCATTGGTCCAGCTTCCTGAAATTTGATTGTATGGCATGAAGCTGTACCCGGTCGTACTTGGAATGCGGCCACGTCGGTCCGGATCACCACAACTCTCTTCCCTCAAGAGTGCCTCGTCAATCTAGCTCGTCTGACGACTAAACCTGCGGACTGTAATCGTTAACTTCGCCTGTTCCTGGTGGTGTTCTTGTGTTTCGATTGGTTGTGACTGCGCGTTTGACTGATTCGGTTCCGCCGGATGTTGTGACCCAGTTCGCTCCAGATTGTCTCCCTCGCTTGTCTCTTGATGTCCCTGGTCCGTGGATGGTTTGAAGAGGATTTGGTCCACGTGTCGCTTGTACACAGTAGCATCATTCAAATCAGTAATTTCCACCATGGTTTGACCCAGTTGTAGTGTGACTATACTAGTGCGGGTCGCAAATCATTGCCGCGGAAGTATATGACATCACTTGAATCGAGGCATTGTAGGGAGGATCGCAAGCACCTGCATTTAAACNGGTTTGCACCTGATTGTCTTCCTCGCTTGTTTCTTGATGCTGCTGCTCCGTGGATGACTTGAATTGGATTTGGTCCACGTGCCGTTTGTGTACAGTAGCATCACTCAAGTCGGTAATTTCCACCATGGCTTGACCCAGTTGTCGTGTGACTATACCAGACGCGGGTCGCAAATCATTACCGCGGAAGTATATGACATCACTTGAATCGAGGCATTGTAGGGAGGATCGCAAGCGTCTGGATTTAAAGAGCATTGCCGGGCTCTCCTTGGTGGTTGTATGTGTTGCGTTTCGGTATTGGAGTAGGAAGTTATCCACCAACGTTTCCAGTTCGGGTAGCGTTTTAGGATTGGCAGACGCAATCGCACTCTTCACCGTTTTGACTAGATTCTCTGCCGCTCCGTTCGAGCAGGGGTGACGTGGTGCAGTTCGAAGATGCCGACAACCAATGCTGTCCATCCAGAGCTTCATTTCGGTTGCACAGAACTGGGATCCATTGTCCGTCACAAGCACTTGTGGAATTCCTTCGCGGCTAAAGCACTTTCGCAGTACTTGTATCACAAATGATGTGGTGGGCGTCGTTGTGAAGAATACTTCTGGCCATTTAGAGTATGAATCGATCAGAACAAGGGCGTAATACCGGTTCAGAAACGGACCACAGAAATCCAAGTGAACCCTCTGCCACGGTATGTAACTTTCCGGCCATGGTGTCCAGTTTTTCGGTCTTGTTCGTAGCTTGTGTAGACATGACTCACAGTTTTTGGCTGTTGCGTAGATGTCCGCGTCCAACTCCGGCCACCAACACATCTGTCGAGCCAAAGACTTCATTTTCTCCACTCCCATATGTCCTTTATGTAGTTCGTCTAGTACTGTCTTCCTTAGTGGCGGTGGGATCACCAAACGGTCGTCGCGACACAGTACACCATCCAATTGTACTGACAATTCCTCTCGGTGAGCGAAGAATTGAGGATACTTTCTCTTTACCTCTGGTGACCACCCTTTCTTGATCGATGAAAGTATGGCGGAGTAGTACTGTTTGGTAGATTTGCGTAAGGATTCCCTAGACACTGGTGATGCTGGGCAGATGAAATGACACTGTTCGGCCTCTGAAAATCGTGAGTAGCGAGAGAGGAAGTCAGCCTGTGGGATTGTCTTTCCTGGGCGATGTTGGATGTCGTAATTGTATGCGGCTAGAGCGATGCTCCACCTCTGTAGCATAGCAGCAGTGGACTTTGCGATAAATTTGTTGGAGTTGAACAAGAACTGTAGCGCTTGGTGATCAGTGATGATGGTAAACCGCAATCCGAAAAGGTACTTGTGCAATCGTCGAACAGCCCAAAATACGGCCAATGCCTCGTTTTGAGTCTGCGAGTATTTCTTTTCAGCAGCATTAAGTAGACGTGAAATGCAGATCACTGGGCCTCCCTCTTGTTCTAATACAGCACCGATTCCGACGTCGAACGCATCGGTGATTAGTATAGTCGGTTTTGATGGTGAAAACGGGGCCAAGACAGGACGATCAGTAACACAGCGAATTAATCCATGTAGGATATCTTCACACTCCACCGACCATTCCCAAGCGTCTGAACACTGAGCACGGAAAAACGTCTGCGCCCTGGTAGCAAAGTTCGGGATGAATCGGGAGTAGTATTGTAGGCATCCCACCACGGATCTCAAATGCGTTTGATCCTTTGGAGATTTGATGTTAGTCAATGGTATGAAACGGGTCGGATCGGGACAGTATCCACGGGAATCAACTGTGAATCCTGGAAAATCCAACTCACTCACACCAAACACTTTTGGACGGCATGATAGCCACGTTTCTGGCGGCAAATCGTTCCAGTAGCTGCGTAAGACGGGCCTCGTGTTCTTTCTTATTAAGGCCGAAATGAGGATGTCATCTTGATATGTAAGCACACCGTCAAGTCCTTTGATTACACTGTCTATTGCCGATTGAAAGAGCTCAGACGATACATGCAATCCGAACGGGAGAAAATTATACTGGTACATTGCCCACGACGTGTTGATTTTTGTTACTCAGCGAGATTCGACATCGAGTGGAATCCATAGGTATGCGTCCGCCAATTCGATCTTGGCATTCATGCAATGACTTCATGAAATCCTCGGGCTCCATGGTGGTCGCTGCACATCTCCGCAATCTGGGATTCAACGTCAGTCGATAGTCTCCACAGATCCGTGGTGTCCTATCATCACTTTTCATCACCACGACAATCGGGGTCGCCCAGGCACTGGATTCAACTTTGCTTATCACACTATGCTGTTCCATTTTGTGTAATGTTTTCAGGACACCTTCCCGTTGACCGTATGGGAGATCGAGTCGATTTAGAAAAGAACAGTTTCACCATCCACTTCTAACTTTACCCATGGTACCGTTCATGCCACCAATGTTACCGAAACCGTCAAATGTTGAAGATGTGAGGTGATTGGTTTATCGCTGTTGGTATGTAGTGTGATTGACCCTTGTAGTAGCCCTATTGGTCGCAGGCCCAGAATAGACGGAATGTGAGCTGATACCAAGAATTAGATCGGGATTGACACACCGAACTCAGAGTGAACTCACAACACCGTTTCACCAAGTAATAGCCGGTAACCCCATGAATGAGCAGTGAAGTCGGGGCTATAACAGCATTGGAGAAAATAGTAGTGAGTTAGTTAGTTTACGTTTACTGGTTTCCTAGAGTTCACAGAAGAACAAAACTCAAATAAACTCGAAACCCTTTTACAATTCGTCTCCTAAGGTTTATGAATACGTTCTTTAATGCACCAATTAAGACTCCGTCATTACCAATCTTCAATCCCTACATATGAAAACCCAAAGCGAAATTTCGCGCATCAGCTTATGTCAACATCGAAGCAGAATACCCATGCAACCGTAATCCAAATTCAAATTCAAATTCAAATTTTTATTATGGGATATAACTTACAAAGACTTCGCTTTTTCAATCCCATAGGGTGTTTACACTTTGGTTCGGAACACGATTCACAATGTCACACACAGTACATTCATGAAATTACAGTAGTAAGGTAATGTTTTTTACGTGCACAGGAGAATATATTATGTAGTTGGGTGTTGAAAAGCAATGATTGCCAGTGCATCATCAAGCTGACGCTTGAAAGATACTAATGTTGGGGCACAGACCACGTGAGGGGGTAGAAAGTTCCATGTGCTGCACACTCTGACTGCAAACGAATGACGTCTGCAGTCAAGACGGCTCTTTTGGAGTGCCAACTTCAGCGGGTGCCCTCTGAAGTTGGCACTCCAAAAGAGCCGTCTTGACTGCA